AGAAGTGATGCCAGATGTTACGAAAAAACACTTGCTATCCTGTTGTGGCAGCCGCCACACACCTCTCTATAAGTTTAATGTAACACTTACAATCAGATTGGCAAAGTATCATACAAACCACACGATGAGTCTTACTAATCGAGGTCAAATTACACCTTGCAAGTCTGACTTCCAAGAAGCTAATTCTATTTGTGGGGATGGACGCTCCGGTGTGATTCAAAATGTTCTTGATCGGAAGTTGGATGGATTGACAATACGTGTTCACGTTTTAAACGAATGACAGCTTTAGATTACAAATTGTATTTATAACCTTCTTTTAATTTGTAATTTGGGTCTCTGGACACCAATATGTGATTACGCCTTGCGAAAGTATTACAGTATATGCCATTGTTCAGTAAACATCAAACGTTCTACAATTGTTAACGGCGTACTTTGTTGCATGCGTATTCCATGTACCTCCTTCTTGGTGATGAACAGCAGGTCGATGATCAGATGAGCAGAATTTCTGCATCAATTATTCAGTATAGTTACTAATTCACATATTTGATGATTTGAAAAAAAAAACAATTCGAGTCCCGAGTTGTCAAACAGACGAGCGAAGAAAATGACCGATTCCAAATAAAATGCATACTTAGAAAAAATTTAGACAAGTCAAGCCGGTATTTTGAGTAAGGCGGACAGATTTGGGTCTCGGTCTCGGTCTCGGTCTGGTGAAAGTCCGAGTTGCGACCAAGCCTTCAAAATGACCTGTTAATTAACGATAGCGGCCGGGCAAGAGCAATTCGACGACAGTCAAATATATGTAGAACAAACATTACATAGCTAAAAGATAGTAGAGCATATTTATTCAATTATATGTCAAAATTGCACTTTTCCTGGTTTGTTTTTTTGACACGACTTTTTGTTATGTGATATGTTTTTTTTATATTTTCATCTGTGATGGAAGTCATCAGTGAAATTATTATTATTATTATATTATAGGGTTTATTTGATTCGAACAAATAATATGTCTAATTCAGAAAACACATAATTAATGATAATAATACATACCAATGAATAACGTTATGATACAATATTAGTGGCTTAGCTCAATATTGTATTGGTTATCTTGAAAACTACTGCTCAGCTAACCAAATATTTCCTCCACAACCATATTTGTTTCTGGAAGAATAGCTGTTTGGAACCAATAAAATATAGAATGTTGCTTATGAGGGTTTGCTCCTCTCTAGGTCTTTTAATGAGAATTGCTACTGGTCTAAAACAGCAAAAAAGCTGTGTCAAAGTCGTGATAGAAAATGAAAGGTTATCTATCTGAGAAAACCGTGTTTAGACGTGAAAACAAATATTGTAAAGTCATTCGAACCTGTGCTCGTCGAGAAAACCAGACCCACGCAATCACATTGAAAATGGCTTGACCAGGCATCCACGATCAAATACATGTGCCACGGAACGCTGTGTTGAATTGAAAAAGCGAGTCACATCGAATACAATGAATTGTTACGAGACAAGACATACAAGTGTGTGTAAATATTTCAGCGTTGTTGTGTGATTTACTTTGGTAATCGGAGCTTGTTATTGTAAGTGTTTGACTGTGAACGCCACAGTTACGCTTGGAGTGCATTTAAAAGATGCCGAATCCAACTGTGGTATTCCCACATTACCTATACATATACATGTAAACTATATAAACGTACAACCTTGACTTATAGTCGCATAAATAATCGAAATAGTGGTTTGAGAATAAATATATGCCACATATAGGTCGTTCAAAAATATAGGTAACATTATTCTTGCTTTCTTTTATCAGTTCTACCGAGAAAGTAAGTTAATCCATGTAACAACTTTAGGCAGTATTGTCGTGTGTGTGTTAATTTGGTTCCACCAACGATTTAATGTACGGGTATCCGAAATCCGTTTGTATGCTTGTATACAAACGTCGTTTATTAAGTATCACCCTGGAAGACTAGCTTATATGAGTGGACACAACGAATATAGTGAAAAAATTGGAAAATGTATACGCAATATAAACACATTGACTAATTTTCGGACACTCATACTGCTATGTTTTAGCTCATTCACTGACTGTTAAATAATTTGAAACTCAATAAGTTTTAGTATCATTTTATTCAGAAAGAATAGTGAATTCCATTTTCAGGAAACTAATTAAACATTCGAACCGTTGAAAGCTTTGGGTAAACCATCTATTTTAGCACTGTAAAAAAGTACACAAGCTCACCACACTGTCGTTATAATGAAGAAAAAAATAACTAACATTTATGTTTTAACAGTTGTGGACCGATTCATTTGGCTCCAGCATTACATCTAGTAACAACGGTATTGGATTGTTGGTAACACGTGTCAGATAGTCATAGTAATCCCCAAATTTGAAACACTTGAAACAATACATGTCAACTTTTACCACTATTTTATAATAGCCTAACACAAATAAAAGGTCGAAAATTTGGGGAATCCTTGTACTATGATGTATTAGCCACTCATGTAGCTATGGTGTAAACTAAGCCGAAAAAAAAGTTCAGTCAAATGTTAGTTAAACTGAGTAATGTCAGATTTGAAGTAATTTATGAGCCTACTGTATATTGGGGGTACTATAAGTCTAGACGTGCGCTGTGCATACCGTAAACCTAATTGTATTGCAAACTGCTGGTATTAAATCGGGCCATATGGTTTGTCATAAGGTGAAAAGGTGCATTTGAAAAAAAATGTTATTACAAATTTGTTGGTATTATTTTACCAGTAAAACTAATTAAAAGTATTCATTAAGAGAAGACAATGTTGATATCAGTGAATATTTTACCAATTTTCAAGTGTTGTTGAATATTAGAGCAAGACATGATGGATCAATAGTGGGATGTCTATTGGCGTATCGGAAGATATTATGCCCGGTGTACAGGTGTTGAATTCGCATATAAACGACGCAGTTTTCCTGCTACTAAAATCGAACTTTTTTGTTTTTCCACGTGGAGTTTACGTTTCTCCTGAATGTGTATAGACATGAAAGTAATGGAAATGATATTATTGACAGAACATGACTAACTAGGCTAAAGACAAACTATACCAATGCAGAAATTATTCCAATCGGTGATTCCAATAAGAAAAGATTTCTAATAGGTTTGGTAGGGGTTTACTTGCATTCGGTTGTACCTGCTCAGTTAATATTGTTAATGGGCGTCTCAGAATTGCTAACGATATGCATGGAGAGTTCACTTGAACCGCAAACTATAGAGAAAATGTTGGGGACTGCGTAATTATGTCGTCTGCTCTATTTGAGTACATAGTTAATTTTCAAGTGTCGGACAGGATGGAATCAGACCACTTCGCAGTTTTATAGCAGTGCTATAAAATGTAGTGGTTGTAGAAAAGTAAAAAAAAATAGTGAAGGGTGAGCGAATGGAAAAGATAGTCTTGACACAGCAGTGGAAAAACAATTTATCATTTCAGAGGAATTCAGTGAAACAATACATAAATTCTAAAAAAAATATTGGGCTAAATATTGAAATGGCAATTTATTACGTAACTTTGAAGTGGGCTGAAGTAGGTATGGAGTGCTTTGGTGCAGTGTCTCAAGTCATAGAGCAAAACACAATATGTATAAATAAATAAATTTAGGAAAGCACAATCTTATGAATTCCTGATTCAGTATAAGCTTCTGCTAGCATACCGCCAATAGCAAGTACATGTTGGATGGAGTTCTTTCCGACGTTATATCAAATTTGTCCAGGTGGGAACCAAACGTTGTATAACATATTTGAGAACAACTTAATGAATGACGAATCAATTAATGACAATATACTAGTAAATGCGTATATTGTAGACGACGAAATCGTGACAGCAACAATTACTTCACTTAAAAACGGCAAAGTGTCTGGTCCAGATGGCGTTCCTGCTCTCAAATGTTGGATTAATCGATTACTTCAAATTATGAGAGAGTTATTTAATGATATTTTCAATTCCGTGGAATAATTAATAATTGAAATCAGATCCAAATAATTATGAAGGGCTCTTTTGTGTGTATTTGGTATTTTTTCAGTATTTTGAACACTAGATTATGCAAATTGGACAGATGATACTGGAGTAATTTCAGGTACCCATCCGCTTCCACATAAGATCTTCTGCTATCAATAAAAAATATCTGAGAAAAAAAGGAGAAAGTTATATTGTTTACTCTGTGGACCACCAGTATTTTTCTGTAAACTGTACAATATACAGAAGGCAATGTTTTCTCTGTTCATATTCAATGTAAAGTTGGAAATATTAGGTTAGAGGTTGACTTTAAACTCTTGAATACCGCCCTCGGTATCATATCTGGGTAATCTGTAAACACACCGAGGTCACGCCCGATTTCTTTGAGCAGTCGCAGTGCACTTAGCGCGGTAGATTGTGTGCTTATAATGGCCCTTTACGATTGATATGTCAGTCTGTAAATGTAGACTGTTAACTATCACGTAATGCAAACATTGGAATTAGCGTATTGATACATCTCAGTTGTGTGCTTACATTCCTGAATCTAATTAGCCAAGTAGATCTTATATTTACAAACAGTGGGTTTGCGTGTTCTGTTTGGTTCTCTCGTCCCTACTCATATTGATAAATTACATGCATTTTTCCTGTGCTGAGCCACGAACTCTGTAGTTCTTTTATTCAATTTGCCATTATAGCTAATATCTGTTATTGGGAATCATTAAATCGGAGATTAAAGTGGGAGGGT